GTCTCGACTGCGCTCCATTGTTGGCGATGGTCGATCAGATAGTTTCCAAGTCGATTTGGGCCGCCGTCGGATTTTAAGCGTCGCGCATGGCCGCCCAACGTTCCCCGCTGCAGGGGGGGGGGGGGGGGGGCGGCGGTGTTGCCCATGCCCTTCAAGATCGGCGGGTGTTTTCCATGTCGGCGACCGGGCCGAGATGAGTGATCGGCGCGCAGGGAGTCGGGCAGGACGCAGCCGACCGTCAGGCCGCATCCATCACCGTCGGGGTCCGGCGTCGACGCACAGCCACGGCTCAGCCGGCGCCGGCGCCGGCGCCGGAGGCCGCGGCCGCGCCCGTGCGCATGGTTCGGTCCTGCCGTCCTCCCGTTCAGCCGGTGTCCGAGGGTGGGGTTTGACGCGAACGTCAGCCAGCGTCAGCGCATTCCAGTCCAAGGCATCGGGAATGCTTCACCGGTCGGAGTGGAGGCTCACGGAAGATCCTAACCATGCTGCCGGCCAATGCAGCTTTATGGAGGGCCTGACACCATATTATGCTGGAGCATAACACTATCGGCTGCTCACTTATATTCATTTTTCGGAGATCGCCGTGCAAATCCATTCCATGTTATTTGACGTGTAGGTGCTTCATCCATGCGAAAAGGCTGGGTATGCCGCGGAAGGCAGTGGATTGTGTGGCTGTTCTGCGAGGTTCCACGACATTGGTGCTACCACAAAAACTGCTATCGACGGGAGTGCTACGACACTCCTTCTAGTGCAAAGACTTATACACGACATAAAAGCCCCGTGAAAAGCTTACACTCCATATGTTCATGGAGTGTAAGTTCCACTCCACCCGTCATTACTTCTACCGCAAAAACTTATGTCGTCGTTTTTCATGCACATTACTTCCACTGCAACAATTTATCCGCGATATTCGTGCTACATGACATAACTTATGCTTCAAAAATGTATGCCTATCATTACTTATACTGCAAAGACTTATACGGGACATCAGCGATCAATGACAAAACTTAGGCTTCAAGGGCTCATGCCAGTCATTACCTCTACTGTAAAAACTGGTGCAGCGATTGTTTATATACTATATCACTCTGCACAGACTTCTGCGCGACATTTGTGCTGCTCGACAAAATGTATGCTACTTAAATATGTAACTGTCATTATTCTAGCCACGAAAGCTGGTACAGTGTGTAAGTATACGCAACACTGCCTTTAACTTTGATATTTCCCATGGACTGGAGTGTCACATAAGTAATTGCGGTAGAAGCAATGTCGTTTGTCAGTGAACACTAAAACAGGGGTATAGTTTTGCATACAGCCGGGTCTCCATCGCCCCTTCATCTGTGATAGGAAGGTGTGTCATATTCGGGATAAACGCCGTATTTTATGCATTTTAGGGCACGTTTAGCCGCATTTTCCCCTGTTTAGCTCTCAATCTTGTTCTGCAACGATACGATGGTGCACCATGCGTTTTTCAATAGAAAAAATGTGGCGTAGAACTATTGTCATCGTGGACTGTAGATCGCACTATTTACCGAAGCAATAATGTATTGACACCGCAGAGTAGGCACTTGCAGTTTGATTTCAACCAGCCAAGTGCTCTCATGTGTTCCTTCCCTCCAGGATTTTATTGAGGCTTAACCTATGGGTCGGAGTACTGATGGCTAAATTTGTGAAGTACGGCCTGTACCGTCGCGCACAGATGTCGTGCATAAGTATTGGCCGAAGAAATAATATCGCTGATATGCAAAAACTGACATGTTTTTGCGGTAGACATAATAACGGACACAGTTTCTTTAGATATAATTTTTTATTACTTTTCAAATTTTGCTGTGTGGCGCTAACGTCACATATCACTCGCTGCAATAGAAGTAATGTCGCGTGTACGGAAAGACTGTACGGGCCATTGCTGTAGACGCAATGCCAGGTATAGGCTTTTACAGCTTACGTTTTGCCGTGCTATAGTCATGTTGTGCACGAGTTGATGCAGTAGAACTAATGCCACGTGTAAGTAAAGACCTGCAATAATAAGCCTTTGCTGCATAAGTAATGATGGGTGTATGCGTTTGCAGTACAGGTTTTGTTGTGTGGCACCCATGTCGTGCATGAATCTTTGTAGTCAAAGTAGCGTCACACAGAAGTAAAAACTGCCTAGATTTTCCAGCAGATATAACGACGGGTATAAAGTTTTTGAAGCATACATTTTGTTACTTAGCACTCCTGTTCTGTGTAAGTCTTTGTAGTCGGAGCAATGTCGCGTCTAGGTAAAACCTGAATAAGTTTTTGCAGCAGAAGTGATGTCGCGTATAACTTATGTCGTAGCACTCCTGTCGGTAGGAGTTTTTGCCGTAGCACTGACGTCGTGGCGCCGTTCTGCGACGTTTCGCGATCCAATACGCCAAATCGAGCGGGCCGCCAGCGGGTGAGCTGAGCTGGCCGCGGTCGAAGCTCCAAGTCTAGCCTACGGCGGCTCTCCGCGCCCCGCAACACGCTCCAAAGGCGACCCCCGGCTCGGCCACTGACAGACCGGCGTAGGGGGACCAGCGCTTGCTGCATGTGACAAGCGAAAGGTGGGGGTCAGCCGGTGCACTTCTCACGGAGCACACCCTGTCCTGAGGGGTCAGCCGGTGCACTACTCACGGAGCACGCTCTGTCCTGAGGGGCGGCCTAACAGAGCGCGGTTCAACGAGTACTGCTCGGAGGAACACAACACTGAGGGACGCAGTCTCGTGACGTATGGCCCAGAGGACCTCGGCCTGTTGGAGCACAGTCATGGCAAGCTTGGCTTGGCGGACCACAGTCCTGGCAAATTCGGTCCAGCGGAGCACAGTCCTGACAAACTCGGTCCAGCGGAGCACAGTCCCGGCAATTCGGTCCATCGGAGCACAGTCCTGGCAAGTTCGGTCCAGCGGAGCACAGTCGTGGGAAGCTCGCTCCGGTGGAACGCAGCTGATCCAAGAAGTTCGGCTGGATGGGGTCACCAGACTGAAAAGCTAGGTTCGGTGCAGCGCAGCTTCGAGAAGCTCAATCTGGTGCAGCTTGGTCCTGAAAAGCCCGACCCGGTAGACTGCGAACCGCTACTGGTAGGCTGGGACGTTCGATCGGGCGTAGTATGGTTAAAAGAAAGCTAACCTGATCCAGCAGAATCCTGAGAAGCTCGGCCCGACGCAGCACAGCCCTGAGAAGCTTGATGCGATGCGGTACAGCTCTGAGAATCTTGGACCGATGGAACAAAGCTTTGAGAAGCTCGACCTGATCCAGCATAGCCCTGAGAAGCTTGATCCGATGCGGTACAACTCTGAGAAGCTTGGTCCGATGTAGCACAGCCCTGAGAAGCTTGATCCGATGCGGTACAGCTCTAAGAACCTCGGCCTGATGGAACAAAGCTCTGAGAAGCTCGGCCTGATCCAGCACAGCTCTGAGAACCTCGGCCCGGTGCAGAACAGCCCTGAGAAGCTTTGCTTGATGTGGTACAGCCCTGAGAAGCTCAGCCCGATCCAGCACAGCCCTGAGAACCTCGGTCCGGTAGCATGCGATCCGGTGGATCAGGGTCCGCCCGTGGAGGTCCGTCCGGGCGACTCTTCCGCTCTTCGTCGGGGCCCAGCCGGGCAACGCAGCGCAAATCGTTTGGCGTCACAGCGAGCAGCTGATTTGCTAGACCCAGGCTCTGGCCACCACGAATAGCAGCCGGCGCGGCGGCGCACACAGCTCTGACCTTTGCACAAATCTCATAAGCGCTGACCAGCCAGGATTGGCCGACCCTCATCGCCCCGCGCGTAATGGGCGTCACATTGTTCCCAGCCTGGTCGCAAAGATTTTAGTAGTGGTTTCAGACAGCATAGAAATGTGTTGAATCTTGACGGGAATGTTCCACATTTGAAGATATTGAAGCAAGCATCAGATATGATGAAATAAACTCACTTGCAACTATTTGCCGTACTTCAAAGTGGAAAAGACCGCTCTAGACGACGCAATTATTTCGTGTGGTAAATATGTTCAGTGCGCTTTGTTTGATTGCGTCATCGTACCTCGCACAAAATTGATTGACGGCTAATTGATGGCCGCTATATCTGGAAATCCCGCTCACAGATGCCAGATATGAACGACGCGACAGTTATATTTTATCGGGGTTCATCGCTGCACGCTCATTCGGGCATTGCTGCATGCTCATCGCGCATTGCTGCTAACTAGTTACCGTGGCCATCAGACTGTCACTGTGACCGAGCCCATCAGACTGTGTTTTTAGTTACCGTGTCCATAAGACAGTGTCACTAATAACACGGTCTGATGAACACGGTAACTGGTGACACGGTCTGATGGGCTCGGTCGTAGAGACACGGTCTGTTAGACACAGTAGCTAGTTGACGTGTTCATCAGACTGTGTCATTGCGACCGTACCCATCAGACCGTGTTACTAATTATCGTGTACATCAGACCGTGTTCCTAATTATCGTGTACATCAGACCGTGTTACTAATTACCGTGTGCAACAGACCGTGGCACCAGTTACCGTTTTCATCAGACCGTGTCACTCGTTACCGTGCCCATCAGACTGTGTCATTGCGACCGCACCCATCAGACTGTGTTACGAGTTTGACACGGTTTGATGGACACGGCCGCATTGGCACAGTCTGATGGACACGGTTCCAGCGACACACTCATGGGCATGGCTGCTGCTGCTGCATTCATGAGTCAGACAGCACGCCTCACATACGCCTTCGGAGCAGCGTGGTGTGGCGCTGCTGCATTCATAAGCCAGACAGCACGCCTCACATGTGCCTACGGAGCAGTGAGCCGTCTGATTCGCGATATGCGAGTTCGAGTTTTACGGCCACGGTTTCAACGATTGATGGCAATGGATGAGCACTTTGAGCTGGGAGGGCGTTTTCTATCTTTTTTGTCAGCTACCGTTTGGTTTACTTGTGGATATTGGGGCTATATCAATGCTTATGAAACATCAGAAGCCATGTCTTCAGTTTGCGTTCCTGCCATTTGGGACCAACTGACCTGAGCTCCAACCATGCCCTCCTTCAGGCGGACCAGATCAGTGTGAGACCAGACGCTCTCATTCCAGGGTCGCTTGTGACGAAGGTCAGAGGTCAAGTTCACCCCGCTCAGCTTGTTGTAGACAAACCGCCTCGCATTCCAAGGAAAATCATTGTGTCTGGAAAGAAGAATTACACATCATATGCACAATCAGCGACAAGACGTTGGGGTTCTCAGGAAAACACAGACTAAATGTACCTCATCAATCGTAACAGCTCTTCAGAATCTGGCATGCAGAATGCACATGCGGAAATGAAATCGAACAACGGTTTTCGACACCTACCAGAGCAAGCAGTGCTCTGACAATTTACACCTCCTGGTTTAAAAACGTGGGAGGGATGTTTATCGTCAAGTGTTTGATGTTGTACCCGTAGCACAGAAACAGGCTGGCATCCATCCGCCACAATTGATGATCGTTGATTGTCTGACCCACTATTGCGATTAAACTTTGCATCAGAGCCGCCAGTAAGTTATTCACATGGGATGGTCTCCAACACACGTTCGAGCACCAGCGAGATGCTCTATCGTCTTTTCCATTCCTGACTGGCCAGTGCTATCACATGAACTCGGCCATGGTAGGGGGGTCCGCGGGGGCCTGAAAGTGACACTTCATGGCGACGCCCTATCGTACCAGCTCCAGAGCTCCAGAGGTACGGCATACCGTACCGGTCAAGCCACCGGGGCTGAGACGAATGCAATGCGAAACAAATCATGGCGGCATTGTCTTCTCGGCTTTTTTCTTGGGAAAAGCCAGACGCCATAACTTTGTGGCGCTGACGCTCAGTCTGAAAAGTCTGTTTTAGGAGTGGTGTTCATGACTCGTGCATCTACAGGCGTCTAATGGAGTATCTCTTGTCTTAACATGGAATGTGCCGTTTTCGTCTACTTATTTGACTTGAGCTCACTTCCACTCACATAAATATGAAGCCGTTACGTGTGATCGGTTCAAGAAATAAAAAACAACAAATACATGCACACACCTGCAGCATCAAAGCACCCAACTGCACAAAGAATGGCTTCGCAGCGCGTTTCAAACTTGCTGGATCCATTCGCCTCATCTCCACCGGCAACCGGTTCATGAGGCAGGCCGCTCAGTATGGGAAAGGCCGCTGTCCTGCCGCCGTGCGCATTGTCGGGGAGGGGGGGGGGGGGGAGGCGCAGTGTGAACCACGCGGGTAGGTTGGCCACGGGTCCGGGTGTCGTCGTATGTTTCAAATAAACAAGAATGATCCGCAGGTTCAACTCGCTCACGGACTTCGTGCGTAGCGATGACAATTTGCCCATTGCACAGTTGGCGAGGCGTGACAGCGTGTCGGCTACCCCCCCCCCCGCGCGAGGCGTATGCCATGCTTTCACAGGTCAGCAACTACTCTGGCCGCGAAGTTAACTTCTGCCAGCAGTCTGGTGTCGTTGACAGCTGACCCATGGCTATAAACTAGCACGCAGTATATGATTACGCACGAGATGGCTAGACTCTGCCAGACGTTACTAGCACCCGTGGGAGGAAATCCGTCATTGCGCAACGAAGATCCTGGACATATGGCGCCCACAAATCCTTTCCCGCACCAAGTCGGTGTCATCATGGACTAGACTGGTGGTAAAAGTTCCTTACATGCGGCACGTGTCAACTTGCACATTGATGATATTGACAGGAAGTGCAAGCCGTGAAAGCGTTTCGCATAGACAAGTTTTTAATGTTTTAAAAGTTTCTTCGTAAGATAATGGGCCTCAGAAGAACCATATCAATACACGTCATGGAGTACGAGAGTCACGATAAATGGCTTCATCGTTACCTTAGAAAAGAGCTGAGAGGCTGTGATTTTACCACCACTTTCCGATACGTGCAGTTAAGAAAGATCACACTAATCAAAGGTCATAATTATTTCGATACACGACCACGCCGGCTGAGTCAAGCGTCAATTCTCCTCCAACGAAGTTCGCAATCTGCCGACTGGGTGTCGATGTAGATCACACTGCGGTGACCTAGCCCACAGCCCGGTCCACGCACGCTACCTGATTAGGACCCCAGTTCGATTTCCGTACCCAGCGGGTGTGGTCGCCTGGCAGACTCCCCGAGGCCGCTGGCTAGGCTTTATTGTGGTCTATCTCACTCTCGTTCAGCCCATCTTCCGACGGACGCGCAATTTATGTGGCGGAAGTCTCTCAGATGGCAATCCAGCCTGGACGCGGAACTCGGACTTGGGCGGAGGCGTGGCGTGCAGCCGGGGTGTCGGTGCGGCGCGCCGTGGTCACGCGGGCGGCGAGACAGGTGGAGGTCAGGGAGAGAACTTCACGTATCTATTTTTGATGAGTTCTGTGCAGCACGGTCCGGTTGCTTAGAACTCAATCTTATCTGCTGATTGGCCAATCTGACTTTTTAAATCGCTGGATCCAAGCCTGCCGGTGCTGGAAAAGCAAAATATGAATATAAAATGCACACTAATATGCATTCAATACTGTTGCTTCTGTGATCATGCAATAATAAATATAGCATGCTGCACTACAATTAATAAGGTGTCCCATTCCTACTGCAACTCAACAAAGGCATTAGCCACCAGCACCCGTGGTGGGGTAGCCCTTCAAATGAAGACAAAGAGCACGAAAGTGGTTGTAAAGATACAGGTGTTTACAAATAATACTAGTAAGCCTTTGTATTGTCAAGGACTTAGACTTACAATTCAAGTCCAATTTTATGTAAACAGACCTCTATTTTCAACGTTATGTTGTAGGCTTTCTCCTGCTATATTTAGGGGCGTCGTCACGGGTTTTTCATGGAGGCGAAAGCTCTGGGTGAAAGTTGGTCCTTGCCTCACCCCCTCGTTTCCTGGCCCCCGGACCCCATCCTTTTTTTAGTTTTTTTTAGTTGCATAATATGTGCTCACTCGCCCATCTGGATTTCATGCTAGAGGAGGGACAATTTGTGTGGTCAAAATATTGACGCGCCAAATATTGACAGCCAAAATATGCAGCGCAAAATATCGATACACGAAATATGGCGCACACAATCTCGATTACGCAAAATCCTGACGCTACAAGATGTCGCCACACCAAAAAGCAGGACATCGACGCGCCAAATGTGGACTCCGCAAAATATTCATATCGTTGTAAGATATCGCCGGGCTAAAAATAAATACTGAGCACGAAACTCTCTGTGTAGGGTGCAAAAGAGGGTGAGCTATAGGCCAAAACAAATGAGCAAATGAACAAATGTGGTGCCAGCTAGTTTGTAACAGCGAAAGACACGCATTTGTCGCTATGTCGGCGCTCTTTGCTTCAATCCTTCATGGGGAAATATAGTTTGATTAAAAAATATCTCTCTTCTTCCATAACCTTTGCCCAGGAGTGACAGCTACGGTTACAAGGCACGACAGAACAGCCTTCTGTAATATGCTTGCTACTCGCGCTGGTCATGAGCGAAACAAGACGGAAACAAAGTATCTACTAATCGGAGCAGTTCTGAATGCTATGCGAGGTAGTGGGTTCCACCATATATGTGTATATATGAATATTTATGTAACACAATCCATATATATATATATATATATATATATATATATACATATACAATCCAATCCAGTATATTGTCAATATTCATACGCATCGCAACGAACGCTTTGAAGTTTCTGAGTATACATTCAGCGTGGCTTCGCACGTAATTACCAGTATGGTTTGTGCAAAAAACTGCTTCAAATAGCACCAATGCACTGTTTAAGAAGATGCCCTTCAACGCGTCGTTCTTTGATTACGTCCTGTAACGTTTTTTATGACGTCATATTTGTTGTCAGGCTGGCTGTGTCAGAATCGCCACTGTAGTGAACGGGCTGACTCGCTCGTAGTTCTTCAACTCGCCGAAATGTGGCATGCTAACTGATGTGTGTCAGTTGAACTGAAGATCGTTTTGTGCCCGTGTTTTGACCCCTTTTCGTGGTATTCTCGTGCCCATAATTGACCCCTCTGGACTGGGGCAAAGGCCAATTTTTTATTCGGGTTTACATTCCAATATCTACGAGACGACGTCATGTGGTGACATAAGCTTAGACAAGTGTGTGCCTTCTTTGATTCTGAGCAGTTTCGTATGTGGTCTCGTGTATTTTGGTCATGTATTTATAATGTTGGGCTACATTAGTGCACTGCACAGTGTTGGCCCAGCAATAACTGGAAACGCTGGAGCCACATTTTTTGGTGTGATCACACGCGTAATAGACGCCCAACAAGCTCCAAAAATTTGAGCGCGCTTATACGTTATGTCGTGGAGATAACCTCATAAAAACTAAGGCGGGGTGGGGCGCGTATCTCCTTTTATCCAGGGTACGGTTTAAGCAGGGTGTTACGATGATTTCTCACCTTCGCGGAATGTCATGGTTGTATACAGGTAGGCAGTATTGTGACCTTGTATTCAGGCAATCGAAGGTACCTACTTCTCCTGGGATGCGGAGAGCTGCTCAGCGCTCCAGTCAAAGGGTCTAGATTCAACCGCTTTTGCTGGCAGAGCTCATTTCATCTGTCAATTCATAAACGTGGACATTGGACGGAAAGACACCATCCCTGCCGCCCAACCGTCAACGAAGGATGATAGAACTCGAATGAAGTGCCAATTATGGGCACCCTCCACCCCCTTCACCCACGTGAATGTCTCTTGCAACAATAGACGGACGTCCGGACACACCTGTCGATGCGGAGCGCTTCTCTGTGAGAACGCGGCGGCTTACCCGTCTATAAGAGGCACTTCTGTGAGAATGCGGCGGGCAGCCAGCAGGTGTCGCTCGGTTGATGATCGCATGTCCCGCAGCAGGAGGGGCAGGCTGATCAGGCCTGTGGCGGCCGTCACCAGCACCAGCATGCAGACGGCGCACCAGTGGCGCCGACCGATGTCACCACCTGGAACAGGGAGATGACGGTGCTCACCAGCACGCAAGCGACGCACCACTGGCACCGACTGACGTCACCACCTGGAAAAGATGTGACGTCGGTGATCACCAACACCAGCATGAAGACAGCGCAACAGAGATGTCCATCTGTGTCACCACGTGGAATTGGAACAGCAAAAAGAACCAGTTTCCAAGAACTGTATCCGTCGACTGCTCTTTACATACCATATGTGATATTCATTTTCCAGATTTTGCACGTTTCACATTTACATTTCCCACTACTTGCAAAAGCGGTTCTGCCATGGTAAGAATAAGAGAAGGTGTGGTCGGAGGACAGTGCTCTGGAGTACCCTGGGTCAGGTTATTCTGCTTTCCTCCGCTCGCTTTTCTGTACTTAGACATGACAATTACGATTAACAAAAAAGACACTGCAATCCTATTCGTAGCAGCAAACCTAACCGCGTCACGGCAGGGAGCATGCCCCCTTTAACGATTCGCTCAGCTTAGCAATGCAGCACCATATTGCTCAGTGACTCAGTGGTCTCCACAGGAGGCTTAGCGCATTGCCGACGCTTCCTGTGTTTTAAGTAACTGCGCGGTAAATAATGGGACTGGAAGGTTGTCGATTTAGCTGGCCATGTCCAATAAGTCACTCGGTTATCGCCCATCAACGCTGAATCGCCTCAGCTAAACAGCGACCCGCGCGAGCACCTCCTGCCATCAGCAATGGAGATTGACACGCTCAATTGCCTGCCCAACGCTGGCGACGGCGTTGCCACGGTTGAATTTATGGGCGGGGCCAAGCCGGTGGTCCCGTATAAGCGGGGCTTGAGCCCGGCAGGTTCAAGACGATCCTTAAGAGCCTTTTTGGTCTACATTCACCCGTAAACATTCGCGCTTGATTCGCATGTTATCTCTTGCGAAGTCTTTGGATTCATGGATCACCCACAGAGCTCTTTGGTTGAAACAATTGATTGCATGCATGTGAGACGTGCTTTATGACAGCAGGGAGTGAATGAATATGCAAACGGACTTGTGTAAGGCTGAATGCGGAGGCGAGCTGCATATTGATCGGTGTGAGCCAATCTTTTGCTACATATACCCACACCTATTGGCGTCATTTTCATGAAATCGTATACTCCATTGAAAGGGCAAAAGGGGAGGAAAAGTACCATAAGCCAGTTGCTTAAATTGCGTGAGCCTTCTTGTATAAAGGGCCAACCACATCTCTGCCTTTGATATGTGTCGCCACACTTCTGCGAAAGTTGAAGCGTTTTAGTGCTGGTGCGAAACGATGTTAAAATGTCTCGCGCTTAAGCAAATTCACTCGCCCGCTCGCTAAAGCGAAAAGGTCGGAAATGGTCCCTCCAGGCTCTCCTCAGGCGTTCTCATTGTCATATTCCCTTGCATTCGGCTGGCCGTGAAAGGCTCCTTTGGACCTGACGGTGTGGGTGGGGGTAGGTGTGGGGCATGATCTCCCCTCGCCGCACTTCTTTCGGTTATGTTACGATTTTTTGGCAAAGAACGCCTCAATAACCCACATGGACCAATACGATTGATTGGTGTATAATATCTAACCACTTTCGTTTCGCAAAAAAATGTCGTTTTTGACACCCACGGCGGGCGGGAGTCGTCATTGTTGACTTTATGGATGGATGTTATTGGCTTTAGTTTGACGTCGCAACATTATGCAACGCTAAATGGCATTGGCAACAGCGCTTTAAAATTCTGGAATGGATAAAGGCCTCTAATGGTTGCTTTTTATGTGATGACTTGGTTATCACTTATAAGTCTACTGTCATTTGTATTCCTTAGCAACTTTTTGTGGAATATTCCACTTAGTAATATAATTTTCATCATCAATCCAAGATACTTTTACATTACCCTTAACTGAAACCAACATTTATGTGAGATTAAAACTCTTATCATGCGATTGTTGTAGCGAGGGTTGTAAATGAGATTGGCATGCTTTAAAACTTGATTAGTTTTCAATCCATTCATTCCACGTGGCATTGCAAATTCTGAAATCGGTCCGGTCCTTTCCCGTGTACTGTCCAAATGTTCTGGTCTTTTTCAGGCCGCCGCGAGGACCCACCGATATCCTCTGCTTGATTCAAGGCACGAGGTGTTCTACTGTGCGCCATTAACATGCGAAAGGTGCCTCCCTGCCGAACCACAGATGATGCAGGCCTGCTCGTGCGCTCCAGAAATGGTAGGGAGTGATTGATTGGTGTGTTTAATTGCTTATGCCCATTTTCGTGCTCAGATAAGGCAATAGTATTAGCCTTATTCCTCGGAAATACAGGAGAATAGAGATGTAGTTAGATTGATGTTTTGGCAACATGCCTTTCACGAAACATTAGCAGAAGTGTTTACCACTTCTGGTGATGTTTCGAGAAAGGCATGTTACCGAAATATCAACCTAACTATATCTCTATTTTCCTGGTTTTTCCGAGGAATAGGGCTAATACCACCGTTTTATCTATGTGACTAATGTTCCTCGCTAATGCTCTGAACAAGTAACATATTTGTGCTTGTAAAAGCGTCACAGCCTGCAACTTATTTTAAAGAGTAATGGGAACACTAAAACATCTTAAACCGTTGTTGCTGTCCAACAAACCATGCCTGCGTTAAACCGGGTAAGTTTTTGGAGTTCGGGTTACATCGGATCGTGGTTAGGGCTAATACAAACACTGAATTGCTAGGTCTATTTGCAGTGGATATGCGATTCCTGTTTTCTTAATCATCGTAGATAGCAGCATGCTGGAAAAACATTTTTTATGAACCAAACCAAGCAAAGCATTTTCGATGACCGCTCCACATCCACCTACACTAGCACAATGGTCGACACCTCGCTGGCGCCGCTGTCTGGGCGAGGTGTCGCCTGCCAGCCGGCCGGGGCCAGTCGCGTCTGGCGCGGTCTTCTCGGGGTGGCGGGCGGAGACGTCGGGCCGGTAATGTGCCGTGACGCCTCGGGCCGGCCGGCCGAGGGCGCCTGGAGCGGCGCCCGCGGCCGCCGGGCTCCGGTATCACGCTCAATACCTCAGCGCACGCCGGACAGTCCTCAGGTGGCTGACGCCAGTAATTGGCCCGACCGGCCAGCCCCCCGTCATCAGTATAATGGAGCAGCCGGCGCTGGCGTCGCCGCAGATAACGTGACGTCAGAGGAGTGTGCAACGTCCCGGAGGCGTCCTCGCAGTCGGCGTGATGACGAGAAGCCACCATAGACGGATGGGTCACGATATTGCCAGTACACCAGTGCAGGGATGTCAAGGTTGTAGTGATATTCGCGCAGTCTCGCGCCCATTTAGCGAAAGCAGCAGCAATTTCAGCACGTGAGAGTGGGTGCCTGTAACGGTGGTGTACGACGGGTGGGTAACAAGGACAGCACGCACGGAGAGGAGCGCGACACCGACTTCCGGTCGTGTCTGGTGGTGTCCGCGGACATTGATTCCACGTCCCCAGGTTGACAGAGCCAACAAATTTCCGTGCGACTTTTGAACTGGTCAGCAGGAAGCTGCAAAGTTGGTTGGTTCCGCGGACGATTCAGCGGTCTTCACTGGGTGCTCTGAACATGGTGTCCCCAAAGCCGTCACCACGGGCCGGGTGGACGGTTGAGCACCTTGCGCTCCAGTTGGTGAGGGCTTGGAGGTCATTCTGACCGTCCTGAGATATAACAAGCGCGAGAGCTAGAGACAAGAAATTCCCAAGGGAGGTAAGTCTATAGCCACATCTGTGCGTCAAAATTTTAGTCATCTCGGTCGTGACCTGCGAAGAAAACATGAGGCAAAAAGGTCAAGCTCAAGATCGGCGCCCGACGTGACCCCAGATCTCTCCACTAACCAGCGTTGACCTTGATATTGTGTTGGAAACAAAGGGTCACCCGCAGCGGCCGAGGACCTGTTGGGCGACGTCCCGCGAGCAGCCTGGTCACCAAGCACAGGGTGTAAGCTTTTGATTTTATGCTAAGGGTTGCATGGCGGCCGCTGGATGCAGTTATGATAGGCCGGTCGGGCTGCCGTCTTCTGTTGCCTGTTGTCCCACACGTGTCTGAAATTGTCCCGCTCAAGATACTGTAGAGCTTCCTATCATCGGTGGCGGCGCCGCTGTTTTGGCATTTTAGACACTGCCAAGCCTGGTAATTGGGAGCCCGCTTCAGTACCTTTTTAACAGCACTGAGTAACGCTACATCGTGATAAAACTGTGTTTGGTACGACGCATTACAACGCATTGCAATGTAGTGTTCCGCCTTGATTTGTGGGTTTGAGCCGAGATAGCCATTTTGAGGATTATTTCGTGCAGTCCTCAGCCATGCTCATGTTTTCAGCCATGCTCATGTTCCCAGCTCAGCCCTTTTTAAGGCTTAAAAACATCTGGTTTCTGAGCTTGTCACCCATGGACTTGTGCAGAATAGTTTATTCAGATCAGATCAAGGTTATCCAGCCGTGCGTGACGACATGCAGACGCCACACGAATGCTGCTTATACTTTTAAGCCACGCTTATACTTTTCCCATGTATTTCGAAAAAAAATTATCACCTTAGGTTATGGAAACCCGCTTATTTAGACGCACTAAAACGCAATTTAAAAGCTTCAGCTTACCTGATCGCAATTATCTATATAACGGGCGAATCTGTGTTCAACCTTTCATGATATGTATGTCTGGTAGTGTCATTTTACCGGAATTTTTCTTTCAGGTTCTTTTCAGTTCCTCACATGTCCCAGGGGGCTGAGGCTGCCACGCCCACTTTCTTTTCAATGTTGGAGGAGGGACTGGACCCCGCCAACTGAAAAGGAAACCACTCCCGTTTACTTTGAACACTCGTAATCGAAGCGCCTTTTTTGGAATAAAGTGGCCCCAAACCGATGCCAGATGTCAAGACGCCAAACCAAATCTTCCTCCTCTAAAGTGGAGGAGAATCTAGCTGGGGGCCTTTATCCTGTGCTTAGCCGCGATATCAGCCGTGGTTACA